ATCGTAAAGGTGTCATTTTCCAGCAGGACAATGCTAGGCCGCACACGTTTTTGTCCACTCGGCAAAAATTCATGGATATTGCTTGGGAATCGATGTTACACCCACCATATAGCCCCGATCTCGCGCCATCGGATCACCACTTATTTCGATCCCTGGACAACTCCCTTCGTGGTAAAACTTTTAATGACGATGACGCTGTAAAATCTCGCTTAACTCAGTTTTCGGCCGAAAAGGATCGGACTTTCTACGAGCGTGGAATTTTCAAGTTGTCAGAGAGACGGCAAAAGGTCATCGAACAAAGTGGAAAATACATTACAGATTAAACTTCGTTCCAAGTAAAAAAGAATTTTTTATTTCGTTGAACAAATCGGCGATTACTTAGTTGCCAACCCAATGGTACCGGCGTGTCACTATTTTCTAGGGGTATATCTAACGAGTTTCAGACATACAGATAAGCTTACTGCGTCGTATAAACCAGTTATAAACTGTCGCGGCAAAAAGTTCCATCGATCTAGAACTACAACTTTTTTTTTTAGCTCAGTGCCAGAAGATAACATTGGAGAGGAAAATGAAAATCATGATTACAGCATACTGACTGGTTTTTTTTAACGAACTTTGAATCTCTCGCAGAGATTCGAAAAAATGTTTTATTATAACAAACCGTTGAGAATTTTGAAATTCCTCTACCGAATGAATTTAACAAGAATAACTTGGAGAATAACGTAAAACCCACGTCAAAGGTTATTTATATAATATTTATATGTAAATCGATTAAAAGATTTAACAGCTGACCAAGAAAAACTGGTCCGTGCAAAATTTCAACCCTTGCAACTTGCCCGCCCAAGCTGCGGTTATGAAAATTAAGAAACCAAAAAAAACGTCGAAAAATTCAAGATTTCTCTTAAACAACAACATATACTATTTTGTATATCAGACCTCTGACAAGATATTATCGCAAGCAGTGCGCTCAATTTTTCCCAGATTTTTCGTCCGGTTGTGCCATTGTCAAAAAAAAAAAGGAAAACCGAATTTGTCGGTTTTTTCGCTGCGAGAAAGGAAGTTACTATTTGTTGGATTCTAACTTTAAATAAATGTCGAATAAGGTTTGTTCGTTTCTGTTGTGCGAGCTATTTTTCTACTAGAAAAAAATGATTGAAATTGTTCGAATAATTGAAATTGTTCGAATAATCGAAACGCACTAATATCGAACAAGTTCACGAATTGAACCGTAGCATCTGTAAAACAGCTGCGCTGGAATTAAAACTGCCGGGGTCTTAACGAATCGTTCATGCACCTGCTTTCGTTTCGATTTGGCTCGAGTTAGGCTCGCGTTTAAAGAAGACTGTGCGCGCGCGTAGAGACATTCCAGTGGGTCGCGGTCATTTTTCCGCCGCATCCTTTTTTGCGATATCGCGTAATTGTCTGCCGCGAAATGGCGAAAACCGTCGGCACTCTCGAGTGCTTCTTTAAGCGGTTGGAAATTATAATTCCTGGCGCGTACAAATTTTTTGAACCTGAATCGCGGCCGATTAAGATGATTAAGAGCGATAATAGTGCACAGATATTTATCGTATGATCACAATTAACTCTTATTTGTTCGTTGCGAAATTTCTGATAGAAATATTCGTGCAATGGAAAAAGGAGCGCATTTAACGGTAATTAAGAATGTTTCATGCTGTTTAATATTGTAACTTTACGTATCCGGATCGGAACAAGAGATACATATATTTTGATCCGATCGTTGCTGGAACATTCATCGTGTTCCGTATGAAATTATGCTACGAGAGGTCCGTGCTATTTTCTCTCTAATTAACGTTATCTGAAATAACCGATTCGAAATATCCAATTAAGGTAACCGCTTTCTCGCTGAATAACATAGCAACTGATTATATTATAAAATGCAACGCTTTGGAAGCTGCTTGGTGCGGCGCGGCTATTAGCAACATTAAATAAAAAAAAAACATTGCGTATCGCCTGGTTTTTAATCGCGTTAAGGAATCAATTTGCAGCAGAAATTGTAGACGGTTAAACAGTTACGTTTACATATTCGAAGGAATCTCCATCATTTTATATTAATTCTGATTATTAATAATTAATATATTAATTATTAATATATTATTATTATTATAAATATTATTATATATATTAATATTATAATAATAATTATATATATATTATTTATATATATATTTTATATATTATTTATATATATATTTTATATATATTTATATATATATAACATACCCTCTCTTAACCTCTTTCAGTTGTTTCCGACGACTGTACTCGCCCAAACTTCGACAACGTAATAATTCGCGTTTACAAACTGAAGACGTTTTCATCCCGTTTCCGAGAAATATGCAAATAAATGTCTCGTTCAGCGTGTGTGTGTGTGTGGGATAAACCAGTTCCGATATTAGGCAGAAATTTCATAACCGTTTTTCTGCAGGCATTCGCAACGTACCTAAATTTTTCCTGTTACATCACGGCTCACCGGCTCGACCTATCAAACCTGCAGACATAACCTAAGCGATTTACATTATACGGTAGGAGACCACGCCGCGCCGCGACGGGCGCGTCTCTCCGCGTTGCGATACTTCGCCTCTTCGAATGGCACCGATTACCATAAATGCGTTGCTATCTGCCCGTGTGTGTGTGTGTGTGCGTCGCGCCTCGTTGCGATATGGAAACGAAACGAGCGCCGTTTCGCGCGATACGGTAAACGTAATTTTTATATTTATATATAAATATAAAAATTACTATAATTAAATTTACTATTATTATTATATATATAATATATAATATATTTAATAATATATTAAATAATAGTAATATATATATTACTATTAATAATATATTATAATATATTAATATATATGTTACTATTATTAAATTTAATTATATTATATATATATGTAATGCGCAACAAGAACTCTTTAGGATCTCAAATATATTTCTAACCTTGACATAATCTTGATACAATCTTATATCACAGCAGCAACTCTTTGTCCGTGTCGTTTCGTTGACTTTTTCTCCCGTGTATCAATTTGTCACGGATTATTTATTACTCGGTCTCTTTTCTATTATTTATTATGCACAACGATGAGACCCAACTGCAAAAACTACGAATAATATATAAAACATAACTCTTGAAGGAGCAACGTTAGTTTCGGCGTTCGCCGGTAGGGGCGTCCAGGTCGCACGAGTTAGAGTGATCAATATTTGTTTGGAATCGATGCATCGCACATGTTAACGTGGATTTGAAACGTTTCCACTGGAATCCGGATGCGTGTGCGCATAAAAATCTCTATTTATAAAGAACAAAATAGCTTCCGCGATTACGTAAGTAACGTTTAACAAATCAACTATTCAAAGAATCATATTGTGATGCAACGAGATGTTTTTCTTTGCATTCCTAGGACTACTACGTTTGGCATAAGGAATTCCACTTGCGTTTTCTCAAATCATAAAAACAGATGTCGAAGATAGCCGGCGTCGTGTGTTAGCAATGCAGAAAAATGACGTCATTAGCGAAAATCGTTCCATGAAGCGATTCTCTTCCGGAGAAGAAAACACAGAGAGATCGCTGTTCTCATTCTTCCTCTTTAGAATTAATGACACACCGTGTTACGCTCGACTATTTTGCAGCAGTTCGAACGAACTATGGACGCAACTTCCGGAAGGCTTGGCTGCTGCTGCATCGGAGTCGATGAAAAGAAATTCACAATGTGCTCTGCGCGAGTAATATTTATCCGCCTTATAATTTGAGCATAAATGGGCAGGCAAGATTTTTCCGTCACAAATTATATTATTGGATTAATTAATAATATAATAATAATAATTATATATTAATAATAATATAATAATATTAATAATTATATATTAATAATAATATAATAATAAAATAATTAATATTATTATAATATTGGATTAATTAGTTACTTGATGTGCAAGTGTTGTTGGATGAATTTCAATACGGAGAAATCTCGTCCATTCATTGGTTATCCACAATTATAAAAGCAAAACGACATTTATAATTAAAATTGTCTTTCTCGTAGGTTCGCAAAACTAATTCGATTTTGATCTCTGCCGGGACGAAGAAACCTTTGAAAATTTAAGCGAGCATTAAACGTAATTTAAACGGACATTTCTCCTTTGACAAACCTGCCCGCGGACGTCCGAAGGTGAAAGAATAATAAGCAAGAACCAGAGGGGGGGAGAGATAAATAAACGTTGCGCCATGTTCGAAAAAATATGTGTGTGCGCGCGCGCGCGTGTTCCTTTACGCCGCGGCTTTGTCGCGAGGAAGCGTGGATACGCATACGACGCAGGTGCATTCTCGTTGCAGGAAGAGGCTCATAAATATTAATATTTCGAAGACGTCGATACGTCACGCACGCCGTCGTACGCAACGCTCGAACGTCGTTAGGAGAGTTTTCTTCCCGGGCTGGGTTCCCTCGTTTTCCAGCCCTCTCTCGAATTGTCTTTTCTTCGTCTTTTACCCGATCACGTTCGGACTTCTTGCGGTCAGCTGCTGCTGCTCTCGGGAATCGCAACGCAGCGAAGAACATCGGTGCGCGCGCGCCTGGACCTTGATGGAACGTCTTCTCGATGAGGATTAATTGACGCGGGCCCCCGCAAATATTTTTCACTCGTAAATCGAGTTGCGTAATTTTGCTCGGACAGTCTGATATTCCGCGCATGGACAAATTCCCGGCCAATTCGGTTTTTTGAATGATACAAGCACTTTAACACAATGGCTAAGATAATTGCGTTCAAAAATAATAATTGGGACGATAAGAAACAAATCACCTAAGGAAAGAGCATGGAACACTAATTTCAGTACTTGAACAAATAAATAAATAGGTGAATCTACAGGTCTGATATATATATATATAATATTAATATTAATATATAATATAATATAATAATATATATAACGGGTGTTTCGAAATTCTTCTCCAGGATCGAATGATTTTTCATCAACAACATATAATAACCCTCGGATTCGTTTCTAGATTCTGCGGAATGTTTGCGCTGCGCATTCTTGCGGCTCGCTCGAAGCAGCTTCTCCGAGTTAACAGCGAAATCTCCGGCGGAGAGGAGAGACAAGGGCGGATCGTACGCGTCGCGTATACACGACAGATTATCTTATCAGCGCAGACGAAGACGACAACGACGACGGTAGGCGAAACGAGATAGGCCAAAGATTCGCGATTACGCGGTACGGAGACACGCCTAGTTAATTGCAATTAAAATCACGGAGCCGGAAGCGGCCCGCGATGAGTATGTGGCGCGTGTGAAAACTGAAAGTAAAAGGAGAGCCCGAAGCCTGGTCTGGTCTCTCCAGTGCCGCGCGTGAACAAGCCGGAACTGTTACACTTTATTGCGGAGATTTTCAGATTACGAGCAGGTGACATAAGAAAGGGGAGCCCCCGATGCGAACACCTCTGGCATCCGGTGACGCTAATGTAAATAACCCCGTCGGCTTTGCAACTGTTTGAATGGTTCTTATTATCCTGAAGATATTTTTTATGGCTTTTATAGACGTCCGATAATGGATGCTGCATTGTTTGAGCAACTGTTGTCGAAGACGCGACGAAATTTTAGGTACATAATACTGTTTACTCTTGTACAATGTACAGGGTGTTCCAAAATTACTGCACGAGCGGGAAATCAGGGGTTCCTGAGGTGATTCGAAGCAACTTTTTCCTTGGCGAAAATGTTCTACGAGGCTTCGTTTACGAGTTATTAACGAAAAACAGTGACCAATGAGGAATCGCGCACGGTTAACGCCCCGCCCTCGAGACCACTGCCGCTGCGTCAGACAATATGTTATAACATATTGTTATATTGTTATATTAAATATTGATATTCGAAATGTCGAAATATCGTCATCACTACTATTTACATCGTGCATACATCTGAGAAAATGGTACAAAAAAATGGGTTCTCGGTGCTAGATAACCTTGACATAACCTCCGTCGAAACCAAAACAGTTAGGCGAATTTTCGNTCGGATTCGTTTCTAGATTCTGCGGAATGTTTGCGCTGCGCATTCTTGCGGCTCGCTCGAAGCAGCTTCTCCGAGTTAACAGCGAAATCTCCGGCGGAGAGGAGAGACAAGGGCGGATCGTACGCGTCGCGTATACACGACAGATTATCTTATCAGCGCAGACGAAGACGACAACGACGACGGTAGGCGAAACGAGATAGGCCAAAGATTCGCGATTACGCGGTACGGAGACACGCCTAGTTAATTGCAATTAAAATCACGGAGCCGGAAGCGGCCCGCGATGAGTATGTGGCGCGTGTGAAAACTGAAAGTAAAAGGAGAGCCCGAAGCCTGGTCTGGTCTCTCCAGTGCCGCGCGTGAACAAGCCGGAACTGTTACACTTTATTGCGGAGATTTTCAGATTACGAGCAGGTGACATAAGAAAGGGGAGCCCCCGATGCGAACACCTCTGGCATCCGGTGACGCTAATGTAAATAACCCCGTCGGCTTTGCAACTGTTTGAATGGTTCTTATTATCCTGAAGATATTTTTTATGGCTTTTATAGACGTCCGATAATGGATGCTGCATTGTTTGAGCAACTGTTGTCGAAGACGCGACGAAATTTTAGGTACATAATACTGTTTACTCTTGTACAATGTACAGGGTGTTCCAAAATTACTGCACGAGCGGGAAATCAGGGGTTCCTGAGGTGATTCGAAGCAACTTTTTCCTTGGCGAAAATGTTCTACGAGGCTTCGTTTACGAGTTATTAACGAAAAACAGTGACCAATGAGGAATCGCGCACGGTTAACGCCCCGCCCTCGAGACCACTGCCGCTGCGTCAGACAATATGTTATAACATATTGTTATATTGTTATATTAAATATTGATATTCGAAATGTCGAAATATCGTCATCACTACTATTTACATCGTGCATACATCTGAGAAAATGGTACAAAAAAATGGGTTCTCGGTGCTAGATAACCTTGACATAACCTCCGTCGAAACCAAAACAGTTAGGCGAATTTTCGACCTTTCGACTGGCGTAGCTTCGGTCCAAGAGTTGCGAAATAGAGAATATTATTTGGTTCGCCGGCATGAATCTTCGCGATACGAATCCCTACAAAGTTAGATATTATCGATTCGCGGCAGAGAAGGCGCGTGGAATCCACGTGAAACAAAATCCGAGCAAAGACTCGACACGTCCCGTCTCTCTGCTGCTCTCTGTCCTGTTCTTTCCATCCTCTCGTTGCCTACCACTTTTTCCCGCGACGGATAGCTATCTCCAGTCGAGAGAACAGTCGCGCGCGACTGTGCCTCGACTCTCCTCCTCTCCCTCCTCTCTCTCCTCGACGGGAGAATGCTACCATGTGCGAGAGGTTATGTTAGAGGAGGAAGCGCGAGCCGCTCTCGTATTCACGGTATTCACCATCGATCCAGACCGTCAATTCTTTTATTAATCGACAGAGGGTCAAGAGTTGCCTCGGCTGTTATGGTTCACGATTTCATTAGAGTACTGACTATAATAGGGAGGAACGATGTTAACACCGTCATCTTTCTATCGTCTGCATAGCAAATGTAATTCGTACGGAGCTCCTCCGGTCATTTTATCGTGGAGTTAGGTTAGGATCACAGCGACGTAAGTTTCATTTATATTATATATTTATTATATTTATATATATTTATTATATATATAATAAAATAAATATAATAAAAATATAAATCGATGCAATCGATTGCATTAGCGCTCTAGATGGCGCTGCGGTACTTTGTGACATAACCTCTGTGTAAGTTTGACGCGAGCGTGCCACGTGCGTTGTATTTAGCCGACAAAGCCTCGTGTATAATATATAAACGGTGTCAGTCGAAATCCGACAAAAAAAAAAGTAGCGATAATCTGATCTGTACAGAAAGCAGTGAGATATCCAATGAAAAGCGCGGCTTTCAAACGAGATTTCTGTTGCACAAAACATTTCATCGCAGTGAACGTTAGTTCGCGCGGTCATGGTAAGTGCAAAAGCCGATCAATTTTCAAGGAAATGCGAGTGTGATCGATGATTTAATGAATAGCTGCAGCCGCACAGGTGTGGTTTCTGCTCGAAAATTAGTGCCCCGTGGCGCATGAATCCCTGGCGCAATATAGAATCGCTAGGTTTCTGGTAGAGTTCTATCGGTTCGGTGTTGCACAAACTAAGTGCATACAGAGAGAACCGTATCATCGTCGAAAGAAAAAAAAAAGAATAGAAACTACGCGTGTACGTGGCACAGAAAACGTGCGCCTCAGATTCAGCCTAATAGTTATTCCACCCGCATGTTTTCAATGCATCGAATAATACGCGTGCATTTACATAATGCGCGCCTATTATTATGCTGATTCGATAGTATTACGATTGTCTTTTAACTCCGCTCTCCATAGAGGACGCCGTTTGTATTTAATATTCTTACGACGTAATATTTCGAGAAACATCTCGTCTTTTTCTGTTACACTATTGATCGTGGCGCACATACGAATGACGAGTTTCGAACTCGTTCTGAAACGAAGTGTTAATCATCTGTGCCGACGCAAAACAATTAAAAAAAAAGAAATAAGTAAAATAAAACTACTTTCACGTTATCATTATACAGAGTGTTTCGTCTGATTGCAGTGTACAAATAATCACGGAACGAAGAAAAATATGTGTTCTATTATTTTTGTGTTGCAATAAAATTCTTTAATTATTCTGTATTGGATAATCATTTAAGAGTTGCAGGTTTCTTATGCGACACAAGACGTTCGGAACGTGTTTGCATCGAAATTCATACACCAGTAAATTCCAGGATCGCCAGATTGAAATATGGAATTTCCGAAAAATTCCGTGATCCGTTTAAAGGAGAAACTTTTTCCTGCGTTCGGCAAGATTACGAAGCCCGACGGAGCAGCCTCGCGAGGCGGCTAGTTAATGCCGGGGCATTAAAAGAAGAGACAAAAGACAAAACAACGGCACGAGTTTTAATAAGCCGGAGTACGGGATTGGCCGGGCAGTTGGCTTCAATCAAGTCCCGGGGTCTTCTTCCCTGCGTCTCCACGGAACCTTTGCCCATTCCTAGGGAGTGCACACGCGCAACTTGATGAATTAAGCCCACGGACGACGGGGACGATGAAATATTAT